CACTGAGTCAGAATCTTGGAACGCAGATGCCCCCCAGTGCGGGACCGTCTCTTTGCGTGTCCCTTCAATTCCCGTGTCAAGGACACAGGGTAGGCTTCAGATGAGCAGTGACCAACTTCTGATCAGCACCCTGGTGGGTGAGATCCCTGCAGGGTTCTGGGAAGAGAAGGAGACAAATGACAAAGTGGTGAGCCCACGAAAAGAGCCTGTGACAAATGACTGGGAGGACTGGCTGGACAGATTGGGAAGAGCAAAGGCCCCTGTCCTTTTATTGGAGAACTCCTTGTGGCTCCCGGAACAAGACAGTGGCTCCCTAGGGGCTGGGCTGAGGGTTGGTCTCCCTGGTTCTCTCTGCTGGGATGAGTAATATGGACCAGGGCAGGGGGTCTGTATCAATCTAGCCCAGCAGAAAAATGAATGAAAATTGAATTCCCCACGGAGAATCGGGGAGCTGTTATCCAGACAGAGATAAATCAAAGGATGCCGCGGAGCCGGGGAGAGCAGGTTTCCAACAGCAGGAGAATAATTAAGGAAACAGTTTCAAAATGCAAATGATGGAAGAGGGTTTGAGAGGATGAGGACAGGGAGGAGATGATTAGAGGAGGGGCGGTGAGATTTGTTCCTCGCGCGAGAGAGGCTGGAGTTCAGGATTCCTGGCATCTGAGGGTGAACTCTCCCACTCTGTGAATCTCACACCGTGAGGGTCAGAAGACACTCAGTGTGCTGTGCAGAGTGGAAGGAGCACCAGGCTGAGAGTCAAAAGGCTGGATTTAACTTTCAGCTGGTTCTGCAGCTTATTAGCTGTGTGACCTTAGGCAAACCACTTAACCTCTCTGTTTCCCGATAATCACATCCTAGCCCAAGCAGAATTATGAAGATCAAAGAAGGTAAAATACGTGGAGGGAACTGTGTACGATGTAAAGACTTAGGCAAATGCAAGCTATAATCGTTTTTCCTACACTGAGTTGCTCCTCTCACAATTGCATCCACTGCCATGTTGGGTTTGGTTCTCAGAAATGTGATATATAAAGGACTAGTATACTGGCTGGTGACTGCCTTCTCTGGCAGCATTTAGATCGGAGGAGAGCCACACTACCACTGGCCCATCCCCGGTACCCGCCGTCCTACTGGGTGCTAGCCCCTAGGCTCAGGGCTGAGGTTGACCGGTTCTGTGGACCATTGTTCTAGGCAGGTTACCTGGCAAATCCCTTCCTTCCCACCTTGCCCCAGCCTTGGTAGAAAAACCTACGGGGTCAGCTCAAAGATTTCAATCCCCACGAGGACTTCTGTGCTGTGCCACAGGGGAAGCATCTGACCTCTCTCACAGTCAGCTGTTCTTCCAGCCTCCAGCGGGCGGGGACTCTGTTAGCCTTAGTTTCTCACATCCACCAAGTGGTATAAGAATGCCACTTGCTAGATCGTTGAAATAGATGGACTTGTGTGGGTAGACCAAGTATCTTGACACTGAACTTCCAATAAATAGTGGTAATTGTTATTACCACCATATGCATTATGTTGTTGTTGTTATGATTACTATTATTATTACCCGCAGTAGGCATTAAAAAAAAACCCTGTGTGTTTAGGGGAAGCTCTTCACTTGGGTTTGTTCAGTTGTAGACGGGAAGGCGGAGGCCACTGGAGGGAAGTGAAATGTGGCAGGTGCAGATGTTACTGGAAGATCTTGGGAGTGAGACTTCCCTATCAGGAAGCAAATGCCTCTTACAAGGGTGGGAACCTTTTTTTTTTTCTGCCAAGGGCTGTTTAGATATTTATGACATCATTTGGGGGATACACAAAATTATCAACTGAAAAACTTGCCTGCTGTACACTTACTGAATTTTGAGTTCCATCCGTGGTGGGCCTGGCAGGCTGGGCATTCATCACCCCTGAGAGACAGTGGATAGGGCACATTTGGGCTGAGCTGCATTGTATATGTGCAGGTGCAAGGGAAACAGACATCCAAGTAACTTCCCAGGGCTCTTCTGCCAAGGGATGGGGTGAAGCCAGCAGCCCCTGGATCAGCCCTGGGCACAGGCGTCTCCTCCACAGTAACGCTGGTCCACACCCAGTGCCAGCAGAGAGACATACAGTGGGAAGAGGCAGGGCCCCAGCAGGTTCATACCCGGGGAGCAAGAGTGGCAGAGAATATTTTAAAAATATATTTTAAATGATAAAAGGATTGACCACATATGCTGTGCATTTCACCCCACATGTTATCTTTTACTAATATTACTAGAAAATATATACAAGTTACAGCAAATCTAAGAAAAAGAAAAGACAGTTCCATAATACATCTCCCTAATTTTTCCTAATATGCTTTTGAGTAATATTTTGATATAGATATTTCCTTCTGTTTTTCCCAATGTAACAAAACATTTTATTAGTTTTTCCTGCACTATAAAATAATGTGTTTATTGAGAAAACTGAAAAACAAAAGAATAAAATAAAAATAGCCACTGTACAGATAATCAGTCTTACATTTTAGGATCTTTTTATATGTATCCTTCTTTATAGAAAAAGACCCTAAACTTCTGTTTCATGTTGCTTTCCCACTTCCTAATAACTGTCAGACACGTTGTTTCATTATTGACCGTCCTCTGTTGCTCTATTTCTAATGACTTCATAACGTTTCTCTTGCTCTAATTTCGTTAATAATTTAATTTACTACATAATCCCCCATTGTCAAATAGTTAGGTTATTCTCTTTTTAAAGTGCTAAGAAACATCCTTGCCACTGTATCTTTATTAACAGCCTTGATTTTTTTCTTGGATAAATTTCTAGATGAGTTGGGTCAAATGCATCACACTTTTAGGTAATAAACCAGATTGTCAAAAAAAAAAAAATCAAAAACAAACCAGCTCTCAGAAAGCATGCCTCTTATTTGCATACCCTTATAGGAAATTGTTCTTTAATAATTTCCCCAGACCCAGCCAACAACCGGCATTATCAGTGCTTTTTTACTGGACTAACATGTTTAGAACCAAACACTACTGTGTCCTGCTTTTTAAAATTTCAGTATTCCACCAGCATGCCCATGTTAATAGATTCCAATAGTTGCAATGACTGTGTAACATACTCTGAGCAAATTTAATAGCCTTCACCAACCCAGTTTTCTTTTGTTTGAAATGTAGGGTTTTCCTTTTCCAAAACATGATGCGGTAACACGCATCTTCATGCGTGAAACTTAAAAAAAAAAAAAAGTCTGGATTGTTTATTGAAAGTAGGATTCCATGAGCTAAAGTGCATGAAAATTCCTGGGTCCGATACGTGTGGCCGAATTGCTTTCCCTCGGATCCCGAGGCTCGGCCCGCACAGCAGCCCCGCCTTCGAGAGCACCAGTTTCGGGGGCCTCCGTCCAGTCTGCCCCGTCGTTCCTCGTGCTTGCTCTCCTGTTGTATTTCTGGGGGAAACATTTCGGTAAAGCTGCGTGCTCTGTTTTTTGTTTTTCCGTGCATTTTTCCGACCTGGCGCACTGGGATCACCTCGCAGGTACCCAGGGAAGCGACGGTGCCAGCCCGGCCCCAGGACACGTGGAAGTCACTGTGACCGCGCCGGGGACCCACGCCAGGCAGCGCCGGCCGCCCCCACCCACACCCACGTTCCTCCCTCGCCGGCTGAAAGGTGGGCAGGTGTCCCTCGCTAGGGGACGAGGCCAGGAAAAAGAGGACGGGGCTCTCTGGAAGGCTGAGGAGGGCGCACAGCCCCTCTTCCCGTGCCAGCTAGGCACCACGAGGCTGGGAGAATGCGGCTGTCTTCATCCCTGGAACGAAATTCGGGGTGGGAGTGTCGCGGGCGCGGAGACCCCTAGAGGGGCCGGGTCTCCAGGCAGGAGGGGTGGGCTTCCCCGAGTCTCCGAGGCTCCAGCCTTAGGCCCTCTGATGTACTTCCGCCGAAAACTCGCGCTGGGCAGCCTATGTTTTACGCGTTTCCACGCACGCCTTGTATTTATGGGAGTCCGGAGAAGGCGCCCACGAGAAGCAGCCCAGCGCCCCGGCGGGCCGGGGAGCCCCGGGGGCTGCGCGCCCGCCGCCGTCCTGCGCGCACGAGGGCTGGGATTGGCTAAGGCGCCCGCGCCTGCAGCCGGCGAGGCGGAGCTGGGCCGACACCCCCCGGGCGTCCGGGGAGGCCCCACTGCCGAGGGGGACGCGGGGTCCCAACTGGGCCGAAAGGGAAATTCAGAGTCCCCGCGGCGGGCAGGGGCGCGCGGGGGAGGACCGCGCCCCGCCACCACCGCGCGCTGCCCCAGCCGCCGCCCGCGCCGTGACTCGCTCGTTCTGGGCCGAGTACGGGCTGTCCCTGGCCCAGCCTCAGCCAGACGCGGGGGAGAGAGAGCAGGGACTGGGAAGTGCCGGCCAGAGAGGAGTTGGCCAGAGATGAGGAGGAGGAGGACGGATGGAGTCATCCGGTGACGGAGCGCGCCCAGTCCGGCGGCGGAGAGAAGCCGGGGGACCGCGAGAGCGCGAGGGGGAGACGGCCACGCGTTCCTGGCCCGCGGAGGGTCTTCCCCGGCCTGGTTCCGAGCAGGGGGCGGGTAGCACGCGGGTGTCGGGCCGGGAACCACCCCCCTCCCCCGGGGAGGCCGCGCGGAAACCGGCCGCCCGGACCACCTGCTGCCGCGGCCCGGCTGGCCGCAGTATTTATGCCCGGGGCGCGAGCCCGCACGCGGGCCGCGGGGAGGGTGCCGCGAAGCCCCGCCCCACTCCGCGCGGCCCCGCCCCCCGGCGCGGCCCGCTCACTTGGGGCGCCGGGGGCCCCCACTCCGGCCGGGGTCGGCTGCCCGCCGCCGGGTGGGGGCAACTTGGCTGCAGGGCGGGCCTCCCTGCGGAAAGCGACGTCACGGCCGCTCCTGCAGTGTGAATGAATCAAAATGCCCGGGTGACCGCGGCCTCCCGGCGGCCGGCACGCGAAGGGTGGAGGGGGAGGGGGCGCGGGCGGGCGGGGGGAGGAGGAGGAGGAGGAGGAGGAGGAGGGGAGAAAAGCCAGAGCCGCAGCAACAGCGTCTCCTCTACCCGGGATGTGCACCAACCCCGGAGAGCGAGATCAAAGGCGTCCGAACCAGACCGAGCACGGCCGGGGGGAGGGGCCGGCCAGCCTGTGGAGTCCTCCCCGAGAGGCCGAGGGCCCGGCGGCCACCGTGACTTCCGCGGCCTGCTCGGGCTTTTTATTATTTTCCAATCTCTGAGTCCAGCCAAGAGCGAGCGAGCGAGATCTCCGTGGACTGCGCCTGGCTGGCTCTCGCTCCGAGATGATGCAGAGCGCGGCTGTCCCCGCGGAGGGGGCCGTCAAGGGGCTCCCGGAGATGCTCGCTGTGCCGATGCAACGTAAGACACCCCCTTCCGCGCCCGCCGGACTCGGTCCTTGGACCGCGGGCAGCCTCTGCGGGGCGGGCGGGCTGGGGCGCATAGGCGGCCGCAGGGCAGGGGCCGCGGCCAGGGTGCGTTCCAAGGGCCTGGCTCTTGGCTCCTTGGGGTCGAATGTGGAAGCCACCTGGGTAGCGCTCGTGGCGGGTCGAGGATGCGCGAGCCACCGCACCTCCAATACCTGGTTTCTCTGGGAACGCGGGAGGAGAGCGCTGTTTGGGGACCTCAGCGGGGTGAGCTGCAGGCCACAGGCGTCAGGGCGAGCAAGGGTGGTCTTCCCGGGGGGGCCATGTTCTGGGCTCACAGGACCACTGTGTGCAACTTCACCCCAGCCGGCGGGAAGTTGAAGAGCCAGCCCCACGCCCCTCGGGGCCGGCGGCGCGGAAGCCCGGGCCGCACGCTCCGTCCCCGCAGCCAGCGCGCCGGGCGTGCGCGCCTGGTGCGTCCCCAGCCGCTGCTGCCTGCGGCGCCCGCCGCTTGAACCTTCGGGAACCGACTGCTCCTGGTGAGGGAACCTGCTCATCACATTCCAGCTGCGAGGGGAATGCGGAGGGGGGAGAAGCGCGGGCCGAAGTTGTGGACTCGGGGGTCAACCCCGGCGCAGACCGCTCAGCACGGCTCGAGTTTGGAGGGGAGAGACTGGGGTGTGTGTGAGCGTCTCGACAGCCTGGCCGCTTCTCTCCCGCGCTCGAAATTAACCAGGCAGCGCGCGCTCCGGGCGGGTGTGTCCCCAGGTCTCTATGCATGGAGGGGTGTGCGCGCGCGCGCAGATATTTTCCCGGAGGGAATCTGTCTCCGTCCCTCACTACTGGAGACTCTGCGAGGGAGAATCCGTGCCGGGCCGGAACAGGTCCCAGAGCTTGGCGCGCGCGCGCGCCTGGCGTGCGCAGCCAGAGTCCTGCCGCGTGCCTTGCGCGTCTGGCAGGGCGCTCCTGGGCACCGCTGACACCGACTGTTCTCTGGCTCCGCGGAGAGACCGGTTGGCTGGCTCAGGGGGCTGTACTCCTGCAACTCCTTTGGTGGGGCAGTACGTCCTTGGGGTTTAAGTAAGAGCCGGCTCACGAAGGAATGGTGACCACCTACGAACCAGGGCGCACGAGCGCGCCCTCCTGCGCCCTGGCTCTCCACGGCAGGGTTTCTGTCTCGACGACGCCTCGAAGGACGGGCTGGCGAACTCGTGCCCTGGGCGTCCCTGGGAAGTTTTTGAGAAGGTACTACAAAGAGGAACTTTATTTATCTTATTTAGATCGACCACATCCTACAGTTATTATTTGTCTTTCTGTGCCAACCAGTGTAGGACTGCGGCGCGCTTTGGAGAGGCCGTGCGTGGCTAAGGCTTCGTGTCTAGCGGTCGTGGCCCGCAGGTGGCCTGCCTCTTGGAGCTGCAGAGAAGGTCCCTGGGCTCCGCTCTGCGGGTCTGGGATGCCCGACGCTCTGATGGTCGCACTTCAGTGTCTCTTACTCGGAGACAGCTTTGGTGTTCGAGGGCAGAAACGCACTTGTCGAAAATGCCCAGAACTCGCCTGCAGGGCTGCCGCTCGCCGGGGCTCTGGGCCTGGGTGGAAACTGTGTCAAACTTAATGAGGGAGAAAAAGGCATCACCCCAGGGTAGCCTAGGGAGGCAGTGCAGAACCAAGAGGGGGCGGCCAGTCTAGCCTGGGTTCTTTTGGCTGTGGGAGGAGACACAGCCCCCCCCCCCCGTTTCAGGGACTTTTTACCATCCGCCCCCCCCCCTCCGAACTTTGGGATGTGATTGTCGCTTTTAGCTTAACGGCCAGCGGCTAAGCTCCTAGGGCCAGGAACCCGGGGATAAATGGGCTGGGCCCTTTCCCTACAGATACACAAACACTCTTGCTCCTGGGACAGGGCCCTGGGGTCTGGGGGTACAGGGAGGAAGAGGGGTAACGGGATGTGGAGCGGGAACAACAGATGGGCCCTCTTCCGGGAGTCCGTCCAGCCCCTTAGCTGGAGGGCCTGGGGCGCCCACTGCCCAGCACACACAGGTTCCCCATCTTCGTCTCCCTGAGCCGGCGAATGGAGCTCCTGGGGCAGAAGTCTTGGGATTCCCCTGGACCTCTGGCGCCCTCGCCTTCAGGGGCGTTCTAGAAGTTCAAACCCAGCTTGTTCCCGCAGCAGGGGCTATTCCTTTGCTGTCTTACTTCAGGAGAATGTTGCCAAATAACGTAATTTATGTCCCTTGGGCCCACACCCCTGCGCTCTTCCTTCCGACTTCATCCCGCCTCTGCTGCTGCTGGACCCCTGGGTAGCAGGGTCGCACCACGCAGAAGTCATGCGGCCCCGGAGTGGTCCTCAAAGCGCCAACAGTCTCCGGGCCGCCCATCCGGCCCCTGCCCGGCTTGGACAAGCTCTGGCAAGCGGCAGGAGGCTGGGGGTGACCCCAGGAGCAACCTGGCTGGAAAAGTAGAGCCCCCCCCCTTTAGATTTCGGCTGGACCCGCTGCTCCCTCCTGGGTGCGCGCCTCCGACACCCACTCCTTGCTCTGGGAGGCTGGAACTGTGGCCAGAGCGTCCTAAGGCCCTTTGGAAAGGGTTCAGTGTCTTTTTGGGGGCTTGGTAGATGGGTTCAGAAAGAGATGTCATCGGACACTGGCGGGTCCCAGCGGCTTGGCCAAAGACTTCAGGGTAGCGGGGTCTCTCAGTGCAGGCACAGTCCTGCTCGTCCAGGCCACCTCTGGCGAGGCGTTGGGGACCCCGGGGTCCGAGTCCCCACGGTGTCCGACCTTAGACATCGTTGGGGAGTGGGGAGCGGTTCTCATGCCGCCTCTGAAACGCTTGTCTGGGGGGGCCCCCCCCCGCAGTCCCCTGCTCGCCTCTGGGCCCTACAGGGCCCTCTAGCCCCCTTACCTAGACTCCGAGGAGTGCGGGGACATGGGGGGGGGATGGGGCGTGTATCCGTCTGCTGCACCTGGGTTTGACCCGTCTGCTCCGCTGTATTCCCTATTACCGAGGGAAGGACCAGGGGGCACGGACGGCCCCCGAGCGCCCCATGGAGAGTGGGCCGCAGACCCGTGCGAGCTCGGGCGGATTTTCTGTTTGGTAGGGTCTGCGACTGTGTATCCTGTCTCCTCTACCCGGGGCTCCAGATCTCTGCGCCCCTGGGCCGTCTTTCGTGCAGGCCATTCCCCAGGGGCGGCGCGGACTGTGTCTCCCCGTTCCTGCAGGGCCTTGCTGTGCTAAGGGAAAAGTGCGGATACAAATGTGTGCGTGTGCGCTTGGCCAAGTGCATGCGTTCGGAGAGAGTCTACCGGATTCCGATACAGAAATTCCGACGGCAGCCCGGGGCGCCGCACTGCTCGGCCTTGCGCAAGTCACAAAAACAGCGCCAGACACGAGCCGGTTTCTACAGGGCAGGCTGGCTCTTCCCGCCGGCCGTTTGCGCCTGGCAGGTTGGGGCTTGGATTCCCTGCCCGCTGAGATCCCGCCTCAGCCCGCCCTCCCCGCGCCCGGCCAGGGCTGTGCATTGCCCAGAGAGGAATTTGGAGAAACCGGGGGTGACTGCGGAAGCGCCTTGCTAGCTTGTGCGGGTGGCCGAGGGCGCCCGAGGGGGCAACAGGGCTCCACCTCCTCCCTTCCCTAGCCTGGGTGGACGAGGGAAGCCCGCGGCGCCGCGGTCCGGGCGCGCACGGGGTGCAGAAGTAATGATTAGATCGCGCCCAGGACCCGGCAGTCGGAGCGGGTAAGGGGCCAGGGTCTGCACTGAGCCGTCCCCAGTGTCCCAGAGGTCGGAAAGTTGGGACAGAGACGAGAACGCGGAACCTAACCCGAGTCTGTCGTCTCGCTTGCCCGCGGTTCAGGCTCGCGGACGCCCAGAGTCAGGCGGGACAGAGGGAGAGTGGCGTCCTCGGGTCTGGGAGCTCGACCTGCGTGACCTGGCTGCGGCCGGTGCAGGGCTCCTCCGTCCCGCGGCCACGCTCCAGCCTGGGTGGCCCCAGGGAGCAGAGGCGGAATTCCTCAGCCAGCGTGGCTGCGCCCCTGCGGGCGGCGCGTGGGCGCGTGGCCCGCGTTTTGGGGTGGGAGGCTCGCCCGTGGAGGCAGCTGCGGGCAGGGCTGAGCTCGCGGGACGCCTGGCTTGCGCGCTCTAGCCCTGCAGCCCAGGATCGAGGTCGCGGCCCGAAAGGCGGCAAAGGCAGGGCTGGCTCCGTGGCCGGGGCGCGCCTCGGTCCTTTCTCCGTCCACGCCGCGCTTTGCGCCCGGCCCTCCCTTGGGCTTGGTTCCTGGAGCAGAGCAGTCCCGGACGCGGCCAGCCTGGCACGGGATTGCGGCCCCGAGGAGAGGCGCGGCAGGTGAGAGCGCCGACAGCCCGCGCACCTGGAGGAGGCCGGGCCGAAACCTCGCTCCCTACCCATACCCCGCTGCACGACCGGCGTTTGGGCCGCATCGACTCAGCCCCGACGCCGACGGAACTGGCTTTTCCGTGATTTTTGAACCCTTGGGAAGCGGCGCGGCCGTTTGGGGAGCGGCTCCTCCTCCCCGCGTCGGGGGAGGCCGCCGGAGATTCCGCTTGACCCGCGCGCTCAAGGCTTCGCCACCGGTCCTGCTTGCGCACTGGAAAGGTGGCAGGCTCGGGGGAGACGATGGCTCTATCTGGGCGGCCAGTAATGCAAATGAGATTCGACCACAGGAGGAGGGAGTCGGAGACCCGGGGCACCGGGTTAGGCGAGACGGCGCGGGCCGGGAGTTGCGCGCACCGCACGGCGGAGAGGCCGCGGCTGGCCTGGCACCTGGCGGCTGGCCTGGCACCTGGCGCGTGCTTCTCCCGGTGCTGGCTGCTCTAGGTGAGACCCCCGCCCCCAACAGGGCCGACGTGTTTTTTAAAGGGCCTGAAGGGAACTAACGAAGGAGAAATGGAATACCTAAAAAAGCCAGGCGAGATGAAACCGGGAGCGTCAGGAAGTTACACTGGGGTGGGCCTAGGCGAGGTGGACCTCCCCCTCGGACCTG